TCTGCCTTTGCTCTAGTAGTCCCCCACGGCTGATATGCATTGCCCCCTTACTGCTACCTCTTTTAATACCTGGTTTCCTTCAAGAATCACTTCAAGAACCATCTTATAAATAAACCTTTTCTTTTTCTTTTTTGGTGAGGCAATGGGGTTAAGTGACTTGCCTAATGTCACACAGCTAGTTAAGTGTCAAGTGTCTGAGGCTGGATTTGAACTCAGATCCTCCTGACTCCAAGGCCGGAGCTCTATCCACTGTACCACCTAGCTGCCCCCCAATAAAACCTTTTCTGATCCCCACAGCTAGCTAGCACCTATTCCCAACCCCAACTCCCAATTACCTTGTATTTATTTTGTATACACCTACATATGCTCATCTCCCAATAAAATGTAAGCTTCCTGAAAGGAGAAACAGTTTCAATTTTGTCTTTACATTTTCAGTGTCTGGTAGATACTGAAATAAATATTTGTTGATTGACAGGAATCTTAAAAATGGACTGGGGTAGGTAGACAGATCTCACCCATATATATGTAGGTAGATGTTTTCTGATCATTGAAGTACACAACCAAGTCTAAATACATTCCCATCTCCCCAAACTCTTACCTTCTCCACGTTGCTCCAGAATTGCTTGACTTCCTTGGCAATGGATGAAGCAATTCGTCGTAACTTGGCTTGCTCTTCCCGCTTGGCCCGTTCTTCCTTTTGCCGCTGTTCCTCATGATGACGAATTACCATCCGTACTACCTAGTGGAAGAAAATTGAGAATGACACTAGAAACCTATCCCTCATGTTTCCTCATCTTCCTCCCCACAGGAGAAATTTGTAAAAGTAAGAGACTTTGGTAGCTAGAATATGTCTGAATATCTATAGGCATCAGAGCTTACCTCCCCAACATTCCCTTCCATCCCCAGCAGCTCTATGATCCCAATATGTTTCTTTCCGATGCCATAAGTGGCCTTATAGGCTTCTTCTACTTAAATAAAACATTTTCAGAGCATGGGATTCAGCCTAAGGAATGGGAGAAAAGAGTGCCTACCTTACGAGCCACACCTCGTTTCCAGCGTCGTTCCTGAGCAAAGTCAGCTGAAAGCCACTGCATTTCCTCACACAGGTAGTCCCAGTGACCCTTTGGTCGGGCTGGCTCAGGAACTTTGGGCAGTCTCCTTAGTGACCAGAAGCCCTCTTTCCGAAGCTCTGCAATTCGTGTTTCTATCTCTGCTTCCTGGTAGAGTAAAGAAGCAGAGGCCAATAGCTCCCAACAATAATCATTTCAAAGAAATGCACAAGAGATGAGTAAATGTATCAAAAGAATGTGTTCCCAGAGACACATGGATAGGGACTTATTCTTACTCTGTCCTTGCTCTAAAGAACTCGAAAATACTGCCCTGGGTTTCCCTCCTTGTTGCCTACTCCTTTCCTGAGAAAAATTACCTCAGGAAGTCTTAGCTCAGAAGAGAAGACACCTAGTGATAGAAAAGAGAACTTAAGATGGAGAAAGAAACACCAAGAAGAAATGCAGAAAGCAAAAGCTAGAGGCTGACAGTGATGATGAGAAAAGACAAATAGATCCTGGAAGTATATGAGAAAGGAAATGGGTAAATAGGACAGATGTGGCTATGTCTATGGTAAGAAGGTTCCCAAAGGAGATTTGCTGACCCTCAAGGAATGGTGGGGGTGGGGAAAGGGTGGGCCTGAAAATACATACATGCTTGGCCTGCTCAGCAATCTCAGCGTGACTTTTCTCCCACTTAGGACCCTTACTGGCTGGGTCAGCAGGCTGGGGTAAGCCAAGTCCAACCAGTGGCACAGAGGAGACATCAGGGGGTCCAGGAGGCCCATCCAAGGAAGAGTCCTGGGCTAGATGTTGGGGAGAGATGCCACCTGCCCCACTGGAGGCTGGAGAGTCAGTTGAGGCTGGGGATACAGGATTGCTTCCTGTCATGCTGTCTGATACCATCTGCTAGGGAAGAGGAAGACAAATGAGTAGATTCTTATAGGTACCATAAACAGCCATGGACACATTAGATTTCTCGTTTTTTACCCCAGGAAGTACTATACAACTTACCAGAGAATAATGTCTTACTTCGACAAACATGTATCATGCTTATACTTTATGCAAAGGACTGCATCAGGCAATGGGGACAGGCAAAAACAAAATCATTTCTATTCTCAAGGAACTTACATTCTACTGGGGGATAGGACATATAGAGAAGTATTACAAGGCAATTTGAAGAGAGCCATTCTCAGCATTTATTTTCTTCTCAAAGCAAAACCCTTCTATCCTAACTCCCATTTTCCCCTACCTCAGAACCGTATTTCCTGACAGGAGAAAAATCTCTCCCTTTCATACCTCTGTCTGGAGAACTGGAAGTTGAGGGTGGGCAGGAGAGGGGCTACTTTGCATTGTCCCACTCCTGGGCTCCACGTAGGGTGCCTGGAGGATGACGGTATCGTCGTCACCGCTGCTGCTAGCCGAGGGGCTGGCGTCCGGCTGCTGGGCATGCTGGGAGCTGGCCTCATTCTGGGCCACCGGCCACCGGGACCCACTGTCCAGGGCCCGGGGCCCCCCAGGGCGTCCCAGCCTCCGTTCGGGTCCACTGGCCTCTGGAGTACCTGTTTCAAAAGAGTGGGAAAGAAGATAGGCACAGCCATCCCCAGGAACAGAAGCAGTATAAGGAAACTCCATTACTTCCAATTTCTAAACACTAGAGTGGAAACTCATTTTATTCACTAATGTTTCCGTTTGGAGTACTAGAGTTAACATTGCCCCCTTAGCAGTGAAGCCAATCTCTCCTCACAAAAAGCACATTCAAGTATGTCAGCATTCAATATAAGAGCTCAGAAATGCTGCCCCCAACCACTGTTTATAGATGCCTTCAACTCCTCCCCATTAATACTATCTTTTTTTTAAAAAAGGACTCTCTCTCACCTGTGTGAGCTGAGACCACACCCGCCGTGAAAGTCTGCACTTCCACGGTGCCGCTGTACCAAAGGAGAGCACACCTAAAATGAGGGTGAGGGAAAGGGGTCATTAGTTTTGAGGAACTACTTCCTTATAAATTCATATATTTATTCTACCCTTCCTACTTTTGAGTTTTTCAATGTATTTAAATTTAATAGAATAGAAAAAGATTCCAGTAAGAGCTTTGGGGAAGAAAGTTCTCATGTTTTAGAGAAGAGTAAGCAAAACCATGCATATGAAAAGAGAATGCATTCATGGAACAGGAACAAGTTCCTGCCACCCAAGGGAGAGGGGAAGAGCTGGGGAAAAAAAGATACTGTAGTAAAAGAAAGCTTAAAAAATCCTGTACTGTCTGTTTAGGGCAAAAAAGAGCATCAGTGGATCCTATGAAAGAAAAAGTTATTACATAAAGGAATGGTAAAAAGATGACTTTTCTGATTTCTACAGTCAAGGAAGACCTCTGGATTTCTCAGGCTTGTTTATAACAGAAACTACCAGTTTTAATGACTGGGCCCCATGAATCCTTGACCGGCTGGTTACACAAATACACTTTCTTTGCAGAAATAATTCCAGTGCCAGAGGTCAGATTACAGTATGATTCAAATATGAAAAAGGTATCTAACAGGAAAAACCGTGTACCTGAAGTTGTGAAGGGTTAACCTGTAAATGCCAGGAAACATTTCACCACATTTTAAGCCATTCCTGTTTTGATCCACTCCCCCTACCTCACCTCACCCCGAATCTTGGCCACTGGGTCCTGGCTGACCCCTTCACCCCGACATACTGCAGTGTCTCTCTAACCCGAGAAACAGATCCCTGTAACACCCCCCCCCCCCCCGTCTCCAACTCTAACCCTTTTTGACCTCTGACTCCTTTAACCCACATTACCATCCAGCTCCTCCCACTTACTCGCCCCTCCCCAACTCCGCCTTTCCATCCAAGGTGCGCGCACACGGGTCCGCGGAAGAAGAGGAGGGGTTCGGGGAAGGCGCGCACAAACACACACAAACACACACTACACACACACACGACTCCCCCCATATACACACCCCAAGTTAGAACAAGCAGCGCGTGCGCGGCAGGGGGTGGGCAGACCTGGCAGGGCTGCCCAAACCCAAGGGCTCCCGCCCAAATCAATCTTCGCACGGAGGGGAAGGGAAGAGGCGGGTGGGGGCGGGAGGAACACAGGGTCGGCGAAAACAGGACTTCGTGCCTGGCCTAGCCCATCACTCTATTACACCGTGAGGAAATGAGAGGGTGGGGGGAAGGACAGGTGAGCTTTAGTAAGCGCCCCCCATCCACCCACCCAAGTGAAGAAACGGAGATGGGCACGCACAAACATTGCCCGACCCACGCTACCCTACCCACTCCCTTCCTGCGCGCTCTGAAGGGAAAGAACAGGGAGACAGGGCGCCAGGAGGGGTCACGGACACGCGCGGCCAAGAGCGCACCTGGATCTCGCGCTCGCCTCTCAGACTCGTTCGCTCGTGCACGCGCGCGGAGGGCGGGAAAGAGGGGAGAGGAGAAAACGCCGGTTCCCCGTTTGGCCCGTGTGGCCTCTCTGTCCCTCTCTATGGGCGCGCGCCGGCAGTCTCGCGCACTGGCCCCGGGGCCCGGCCGAAGATGCGCGCGCAGCAACCCGGGAAGGGGAGGGCAGGGAGGAGAGCGACGATGCGCGCGCAATCATTCGTCGTCGGGAGGTGGGAGGTGGGAGGGGGGAGGAGGGAGGGAGGGACGAGGGGAATCAGCCATCTTGTCTCCCTCTTCTTACCTGCGTCCTCGGGGGCGCGCGCGCCACCCCCCCCCCGCCGGGAAAGGGGGGAGGGTTTCTCTCTAATCGCCGCGGCCGCTCGAGGTCTCACAGGGTCTGCCGGTACTCCCGCTGTCCCGTCTCTACCTCCAACTCTCTAGGCGCACGGATGTAGGAGGGCGGTGTGGGGGGGAGGGGAGATGCCACTCCCCGCGAACCGCCGCCGCCGCCAGCGCCGCTCCAGAGGCCTCACCAAAATGGCCGCCGCCGCCTTCGGCCGCCACCACCACCACCACCACCACCACCACCACAGATCACTGCCACTACAGCCGCCGCGGCCCGTCCTCTCGCGATAGATAGTGTAGCGGGTGCGAGAGCTAAGGGGGAGGGAAAGGGAGGAGACGCGCGTGCCAGAAGGAGGTGTTGGCCTGTTGGCGCGCTAGGCGTCTTGGGAAGTGTAGTTTCCCCACTGCGTGTGTCAAACCGTACCTACTATTTCTTAAGCTTCCTGGACACAGAAACGAAAAGGTTAACTAAACTTTCTAGGCAATCTTGGATAATACCTTCAACTTTCGAGACTATTTCTAATTAACCATACTCGAGGCCCTCAATAGCTTTCCTGAACTGTTGCTGTAGTCTCCCGGTGATAACTTACATGTAAAACCCTATGTGAACACTTCAGAAAGGGGGACAAAGAATGCAAAAAATACATAATCATAAATGCCATGTGCATTCCCAGCTTTGCTCACGATTTCCTTGCATAAATTGTCTTTCAACTCCTCCCTATCGCACATCTTTCAAGTCTAGCTCAACTCTTAACCTTCTCCATGAAGACTTCTCTGACAGCGTTGAATCATGTGGTCTTTGCTGTAGACTTTCTTGAGTTACTGCTTTATTTTCTTAATTTTTAAATTAACAAGCGTTTACTTTCTTTATCATTACCCCAAGTTATTTATTTCTCTTATAAATTTTTGATATCCTTTGTTTTTTGTATCTCCTTGTTTTCCCCAGTATCTATCCCTCTCTACTAACAAATAGTATTTTTAAATTAAAAAAAAAACCTTGTAATAAATATGTATGATTAGAACAAATCCCCACATTATCCACATCCAAAAATGTATGTGTCATTCTACATCTTGAACCTATCAGCTTCTGTCAGTAGCTTAGTGGCACAAATCATCAGTACTCTAAACTCATGGTTTGGTCATTAAATTAATCAGAGATCTTGACTTTTTTAAACCTGGTTTTTTTTTGTTATTGTCAATATTGCTATACAAATTATTTACTGGTTCTGCTCACTTCACTCTACATCAGCTGCACTTCACATAACTCTTTTCAGATTTCTCTGAACCCATCACTTTTATCATTTCTTATGGCACTATATTTAATGTATTTCATTAAATTCATACACCAAAATTTATTTAGCCATTCCCCAATTGATGGGCACCTCCCTCAGTTCCAGTTCTTTGAAGCTACAAAAATTGCTACTGTGACTATTTTTGTGCATATGGTTCTTTTTCCTCTTTCTTTGATCTCTTTTGGTTATACTGCTATACTTTTTATATCTTGTACAACAGCATAAAGATCTTGAGGACAAAGGCCATATTTTGTGCTCCATTGTATTCAGTTCCATTCAACAAGTTCTTATTAACTGCCTACTACTTGTTAGGCAATATACTAGGCACTGGGAGTATACAAAAAAAAAAAGGAAAAGAAAACAATTCTTGTCAACACTTCTTCCTGAGAATAGGAAAGTGTACTTTATCAACTATTCTTCAAGATCAGGATTGGTCATTACAACTAATCTGAGTTTGACTGCTTTTCAGTGTTGTTTTCATTTATATTTTATATTCATTGTGTATATTGTTCTCCTAGTTCTGTTTATTTTGGGTTGCATCAGTTGATAGAAATTCTAATATGTTTCTCTGAATTCCTCCTATTTGTGATTTCTTATGGCACAATAGTATTGTTACATTCATTTACCTTAATTTATTCTGCCATTCCTCAAATGGTAGAGACCCATTTTTTTTTTTGTCACTGTCATAAAATATTCTGCCTGATTTTTCCCCCTGATAAATATGACAGAGACAGAAACAGCAGTACCATGTAGTCACAATCTTGTGGTGACCCAAATGGGGAGATAAATTTAGTACTGCTATCTCAATCTCCACCCAAAAAATTACAGGAGTTTTTGTTCCTCCTCACTTGAAAGTAGCTAGGGAAGAATGAGGTATTTCATCTGTTCATGCCTTTTACATGTAACTAAGAACCTCTGCCTGACTTTGGAATTTTTTTCTTTTTTTTTTAGTTATGAAGTTGATAGACAGTAAACAAACATGGTTATTCCCAAATAACAAAGAACAGAAAGACAATGGCACATGAAACCGAGAATTTCAATTATATAGAATGTTAAGTATATAATAAATTTAATACAATTATTCCAATACTGTCCTGTTTGTCTGTGTCTCTGAACTTCCTTCAGCTCACTTCTGTGAATTTTATAAATGTTCTTTTCTTTTTTCATTATTATTACTATCCCCATTTCCTTCATAACTCTCCCCTTTTCAAATGAAAAATAAAATTTAAAAATACCCTTCCTTTTAACAAATAAATATGGTCAAAGAAAACAGAGACACACATTGGCCATGTCAGAAAATGTATGTCATTCTGCACCCCTACTCTATCCTTTCTCTAACAAAGGATGGTATGTATGATTCATCATCAGTCTTTTGGAGTTATAACTGTTTATTTCATTGATCAGAGTTCTTAAGTCTTTCAAAGTTGTTTTCCTTTATAATGTTACTGTTATTATATAATTTTCCTGGTTCCATTACTTCATTCTGCATCTGTTCATTCAAGTTTTCTCAGGTTTCTTTGAAACTACCTTTTTCATAACTTCTTATGTTGTATTCTATTACGTTCTCATACCATAATTTCCTTAGCCATTCTCTAATTAATGAGCACCCCCTTTGTTTCCAGTCCTTTCCTGAAAAAAATTTTTTTTTTAAGTTCTGCCTGACTCTTGCGTACTTCCTTAATCTGACACTATCCCATCTATCCAACCCTGTATCCCAATTCTGAAGCTCTAATTAGGCCTGTTTTCTCACTATCTCCTAAACTTATTCCTACTTCTTTTTTTTTAATTTTTTTTTTTATTCCTACTTCTGAACCTTTGCCTACACTGGCCCTTCTTCCTGAAATGTCCTCCTCATTTACCTATGACAATCCAAATCCCATCTACCCTTCAAGGCCAAGCTCAGGCTCAACCTCCTCCATGAAACATTCCCCATCTAATTCTCTACACTGATATCCTTTTTCTCTGAATCATAATGTTATCCTGTATTTTTTTCATTGTTTCATGTGCCTTAGTCCTGTCTCCCCAAATATATTAAAGGTTTTTAAGGCTGGGAATCCAAGCTTCCTTTGTATTCTCCCTCCCCCAGACACCTAGTATTGATGCATGGTAGGTGTTCAGTATTTGATTGCTTAATTAATCTATTCTTAATCATAATAGGGAAATTTTTTGTCATAATAGGGAAGTCACCTACCTGGACAATCTAGGGACAACCTAGCCACTAACCTGGTAGAGTTCCAAGCTTACTACACACTGGGGGAGATCAATCCAAAACCTGGAATGGGTTCGTACAGGGCAGAGAGCCGTCTGTCATTCATGCAACAAATATTGGTTGAGCCTCATATGTATAAATTACTGTGTTAGGTACTGTGGAGGCATGAAGAGATATGAACAAGGTACCTCAAGCTCAACATTTCCAAAACTAAATTCATCACTTTCTTCCCAAAACTTGCTCCTTATTTCAGGACTTAGACTTCATGATATTTTAATGATCCCTACTCTCCTCCCATAACCCTGGTTCAGACACAGTCCCCTCTCCTCCTTCCTCTCCTTTGTTCTTCACATTCAGTTGGTTGTTCACCAAATTCTGTCTATTAGAGCTCTAGCACTCATCTCCTCTTTTCCTTTCCCATTACCATTTCATTAGTTCAAGATCTCACAATCTCCACCCAGAAGACTGCAATAGTCTTCTAGCAAATCTCCAATTTCTCCTCCCATTAGTCCATTCTGTATACCGCTGCCAAATTAGTCTTCCTAAAACATAACTCATCACATATCCCTCTCTTTTACTCAAAAACCTTCATAATCCAATTTTTAAAAAAATTTTTATATAATCCAATTTTACTAGGTTAGAGACAACTGCCTATAACAGTAGATAGAGTAATGGACCTTTAGTTAGGAAGACCTGGAAATCCTGCCTCAGTTTCTTTTCATCTGTAAAGTGGGTATAATAATAGCACCTACTTCCAAGGTGTGAGATTTAAATGAGATATCATTTGTAAAGTGCTGTGCAAACCTTAAAATCCAGATTCCTCAGTTTGGCATTCAAAGCCTTGTACAGTATGACTTCTTTTCAACTTTATCTCTTATGTCCCCAAATGTATCCTATTCTCTAGCCTAACTGTCCTTCCCCAAATATGCCCCATGCTATCCTACCCCTATACCTTCTGTTGTTTTCTTTCTACTACCTATGGAAATACTACCCATTATTGAAAGCTCATCTTAAATGCCACTTTTTGAGATGCCAAAGAGCTTACATGGAATCCCTTCTGAAACCTCCACATATCAGTTAGTAATCCCCACCTTCCACTGAATGATACCTTTGCAAACCCAGTCCCTGGGGCCTATGGAGAGATAGTGGTGTCAGCGTCAGCTACATTTGGACTTGCAGAGTGGGCAGCTCCTAGCAGTCCTTAACCAGACAAATGTTTCCTCACACTGTTGCCACTCCATAATTTTGCTTGTGTTTCTTATGTTTTCTTTACCCTAGTCTGACAAATAATTGATACTCTTAGTTTTGTACCTCAAATTCTTATCCACCTCTCTGTGCTGTAGAGGTTAAATCCTGACAAAAAGACCCTAGCTTGTACCTGATAGAACCCCATCCTTCTCCCTCCTTAGTATCTCACTTCACTCATTTCTCCCTGCTCATTGTCAATGTTGGGTGAACTTTCTGGCAGGACCACAACCGAGAGCGGAAATAGCCAGTCCCATTCTACAATCATTAAGCAAGTGCAGAGTTGGGCTGGGACACTTCCCTCACAGAGAGAAGGTAAGACGTATGAAATGAGAATTATTCCATTTGTTCCAGAGGACAGAAGCAAGAAAGTTGGGTAGACATTCCAGAGGCAAATTTAGATTGATATCAGGAAAAGACTTCCAATAATTATATCTGTCTAAAAGTGAAAAGGGTTGCTTCAGGAGGTAGTAGGCTCCCCCATCATGGGTGTTCTTCAAACAATGGATGAACATATGATACGTGTGTTAAAAGAGGGATTCATTTCAGGTATGGGTTCAACTAGCTGGCCACTGACATCTCTTCCAACTCTGAAATTTTGTGATTTTTCAAAGTAACTATGTGATGGACTATGCAATTTTAGGGGTTTGGGCACGTGAATTCATGAGTACCACTGGTTTCCTCTGTGACAAAACTTCTATCATTTAAATCAGCAATTTATACTCTTAGAGAATTGGTTGGGGTCACTGAAAGGTTAAGCAACCTGCCCAGGGTCACACAGCCAGTATGTGTCAGTGGATTATAAGCACCCTCTAAGATATGCAAAGTTCTATGGGGATTTCTGAGCAGGGAAAGATCACATGTAGTTGGAGGAATCAGGAAAGACTTTGTGGAAAAGGGGGCATTTGAGATGGCATTTGAAGTAAGGATAGGATTTTTACAGTCAGAGATGTTAAGGAAGGCACATACAGGGAGCAGTGTGAACAGAAGTGCCATTTTACGATTCTTGAGCAGAAGAGGGGCACAATGAGAGCTGTGCATTAGGGTGATTAATCTAACAGTGTGTGCTGAATATTTTGGAGGGGGAGACACTGGACCTTTGTCAGCCTGGCACCTCCCATGGAGCTAGACATTCTCCCTAACCCTTTGATGAGAGGACACAGGGAATTCTTCTGATTGGAGCCCAGCAACTCTTGATCACCCTGTCACCCCATTATATATCTATTATAGTAATTCAGGTGAGAAGGTATAGTCGAAGGTGATAGAAGTGGCAATGTAATGGAAGGGGAAGACTTGAAAAATATGTATGTTTATTCATTTATTTATTTATTTGTTAGGCAATTGGGGTTAAGTGATTTGCCCAGGGTCACACAGCTAGTAAGTGTCAAGTGTTTGGTCTGAGGCCGGATTTGAACTCAGGTCCTCCTGACTTCAGGGTGAAAAATATTTTTAACAAAGAATTGCCAAAACTAGGTAACTGATAATAGGTAACGAGAGAGGGAGAAGAGTAAAGATGACTCCAAGATTCCAGGCTTGGTGAAAAGTTGATGGTGCCATCAATAGAAAGAGGGAATTTGGAAGAAGATTTTCAGGAAATGGGATGAGTTCATTTTTTTGACGTGAGTATGGGACGTTTGCAGGATATGCAGCTGGAGATAGCTAGCAGGCAGATGGAAATGCAGAATTGGATGTTTGGAGAAACATGAAAGCTGGAGATTTAAACTTGGAAGTCACCCCCAAAGGGAAAAGAGAACAGAATGTTGAGGATGCTTACATTGAGTTACTAATAAAGGAGAGTTGATTATATATTTAGACATCCTGGTGAGAACCTGAGCAATTTCCATTCCCCACCCCCACCCCCAGACTATGGAAGCATCTGTGAATCACAAATCTAGGGATTCTGGACTGGCATCTCGGGGATGTGTCCAGCTAGGTTTGGGATGGTTGTCCCATTCTGAGGCTGGCAAGTGAACTTCTATTTACAAAAGCCATTTTTTTAAAAATTAGGCAATTGGAGTTAAGTGACTTGCCCAGAGTCACATAGCTAGTGAGTGTTACATGTCTGAGTCCAGATTTGAACTCAGGTCCTCCTGAATCCAGGACCGGTGCTCTATCCACTATGCCACCTAGCTGCCCCTAAAAGCCATTTTTTATAAATTTTATAAAATGTCCTATTTATGAAGCCCTTCCACAGCTGCTTACTATCTTCTGAAGCAGCATCTCCCTGTCTCTCCTTCAAAATTTCTTCATATCCTTCAAAATTCCTTCCTGAAAACTATGGAGCAGATTGTTTCACGCTTATTTTAGTGGCTGTCATTAAGTATTTATTGAAGAATTAGACTTGTTCTATTTAATGCCAAAAGACAGAACCAAGAGTAATAGATGGAAGTTGTAAAGATGCCAATTGAGTCTTTGATGTAAGGAAAAACTTTCTAATAATTAGAGCTTTCCAAAAGTGGAATACATTGCCTAGTGAGATACTATGGTGGAAATAAGTGTGTTAATTCAGGTTGAACAATCCCATTTTGCTTTAACCCTCTATCTTGTGACTAAATAGTTGTTATATAAGCTCTTGCAATGATATGTGTGTCCCAGATTTGGTAAACACTATCAAATTGATATATGTCCCTTAGATTTGGTAAATGAGTACTAATGATATGTGTCCCCCAAATCCAGTAAACAACTGGCAAACTAATTGACTGATGACATTGGGTGTGATCGATAGTTTCTTTCACTATAAACTTAGGCAACACATCACCAATCAGAACTTAGATATAATTTATAAAGCCAGAAGCATACTCCCATACCCCCTGGCCCCAGTCATCAGCCTGATCCTGGGTTGATTCTAGGACAGACTTCTATATTTCCAAACTTGGAAGGTACTTGGAAATGTGAACATCCCATGTTTGCTTGACTGAGAGAATTGACAGAACGCTACCTTGAAGGGAGACACACAACCTCCAACTGGGCAGAGAGGTTACCTTGTCATGAGTACCATGCTTAGAGAGACCTTGAGGAATAAGGTTGGTGATTTGTTCTTGGAGGGCTTGACTTTGGTGTTATTGAATAGTCGATAAAGTTTGACTGAATGCATTTATGAGTGTAGGTCTTATCAGGTACTATCAGCCCTGAAAAGCAGACGTAATGGCAAATTGCTTTTACATGTGCACTGTATGTTACAGGTAGTGGAACCCCCTTACTGGAAATCTTTAAGCAGAGGTTAGTTAGAATGATGATCACTGGTCAGGTGGGGAACATTTTTCAGGTATGAGTTATATGGCCACTGAGATCCCTTTCAACTCTCAAATTTCATGATTCTTTGAATGTCCCCTCTGGGCAGAGTCCGTACTAGATACAAGACAACAAACAAAGGAATCAAATGTTTCGTACCCTAAACTCATTGACTAATGACAAGTTCTGTTTCCTATCAATTTTATGTGACTGCGTTTCCCTACGACAAGAGTTGGCAGCCAATAGAAAATCCATGGTATCATCGTCCTCCTCCCCAAGCATCTGTTTCTGTTCCAGATTCCATGAAAAAATGCACTATGAAGAGACCGAGGGTCAGCAGAACATTACCTAAAGGTATTGCAGCCTTACTTTTGTAAATGAGCTGGGATCAACTAAGCAGGCTGCAGATATGTACTTTAACATTCTCACTATGCTCCCAATTTTTTTGCTCAGGAAGAATTCAATAAAGGAAGAATAGGCAGGGGGAGGGACCTATTGTATACAGCTTTCCCTAGGAGTTTAGCCACAAAAGAGAGGAAAGATATGGGATGACAGCTAGTGAAGATGGATGGATCAAGTGAGAGTTTTTTGAAGATAGGGAGACATGGGTATGTTTGTAGGCAGGAGGGAAGTAGCCTGTAAGCAGGGGGAGAGTGAAGATAGGTGAGGAAATGGAAATGATAGAGGCAGCAATCTGCTTTGTGAAGATGGAATAGAGTAAGATCACATTTGCTTCTAGGGGGTTTGCTTTGGCATGAAGAAGGGCCACCTCTTCAAGTGAGATAGGTGAAGGAGGAAATGGTGGCAGAAAGCAGGATGATATAAAAAGGTGGGGAGAAGACAGAGCTTGCAGGGAATAATCTCATTTTCAGTAAAATACAAGGCAAGGTTCCCAGCTTAGAGGGTAGGAGCAAGGGGAATCATGGGAGGCTTGAGGAGGGATGAAAAGGTTTGTAAGAATAGTGAGTGGGATAGTGAGTCAATTGGGTAGGTGTTGCAGGCCCCAGTTGAGATTATTTGAAGTGGATACTCTGAGCATAGTTTCATGATTTTCTTTAGTTTCATCTAACTGTATCTTGGTAGGAGTGAAGACATCAGATGGTGAGAGTAATCCAAGGTTAGGGCTTAGCAAGGCAATATCTGGATACTGGACTCAAGAGAAGAGCCTAGTATAGAGCTGAACTGGTTCACCCGGGGGTCAAGGGGGAAAAGGAAAGAGTGTGGCTAATGTAGGGGTGATGATCTGGGAAAGAACTGAGGAAGTGAGGAATTGGAGTCATAGTGTGAAGAACAGGGTTTGAGGTTGCAAGGCAGAGAGTGGTGGAATGATGATAGATTTTGATCAGATAAGGGAATTTCCGAATTCATGAGCATGGAAGTAGAACATTTGTGGGTGATGGTAAAATCAAGGGTATAACCATGTTTGTGTGTGACTGAGGTGAGGTGAAGAAATAGGGCATAGGAAATGGGTAAATTGAGAAAATGAGAGGTTGGTTGTAGAGATGGTACCAATCTAAATTGGTAGAAATTTCCTCATCTGAGAGTTCCCTCTACTAATGAAATGACAACTTCAGTCCTATCTCTGTAGTTGTTTCCTATAGTTAGGTGGCTAGATAGAGCAAAGGACTTAGAGTCAGGAAGACTTGAATTTGAATCCTACCTCAGACTTTTACTAGCTGTGTGACCCTGGGCAGGCTAGTCACCTAACCTCCATCTTCCTCAATTTCCTCATCTGTAAAATGGGGATAATAATAGCAGCCACATCACAGGATTGTTGTGAGGATCAAATGAGTTAATGTATATAAAGTACTTTGCAAACCTTAAAGTGCTATATAAATGCTAAAATGTTATAGCATTAGTATAGCACTATAAAATTAAAAACTAACCTGGGCAGCTAGGTGGCGCAGTGGGTAGAGCACTAGCCCTGGATTCAGGAGGACCTGAGTTCAAATCTGGCCTCAGACACATAACACTTACTGGCTGTATGACCTTGGGCAAGTCACTTCACTCCACTGCCTAGCCAAAAAAAAAAATTAAAAACTAATCCACATTATTGTTAAAATTAATTATATAAAGTGTTAAAATTATTATTGTTATATTACAGCTCAGTTCAATGTCTGCCTTCTCGGGCTCTGAAATCCTTACATTCTTGGCCCTGTGAAAATAACTGTAGAATAGCCTTTAAAAATTCCTGAATCCAGGGGCAGCTAGGTGGCACAGTAGATAGAGCACTGGCCCTGGAGTCAGGAGTACCTGAGTTCAAATCTGGCCTCAGATCAAACACTTGACACTTATTAGCTGTGTGACCCTGGGCAAGTCACTTAACCCCAATTGCCTGAAAAAAAAACCCACAAAAAAAATTCCTGAATCCTGCTTTGACTCCTCCCCTATCTCTTGAATCCTCTAGAGCAGGGATTCTTCTTTTTTTTGCTTTTTGGTGAGGCAATTGGGGGTAAGTGACTAGTAAGTGTCAAGTATCTGAGGCAGGATTTGAACTTAGGTCCTCCTGGCTCTAAGGCCAGAGCTCTATCCACTGTGCCACCTAAGCAGGGATTCTTAAACCTCAGGTCTATAAACTTGTTTTTAAAAATATGTTGACAGCTGTATTTTAACATAATTGGTTTCCTTTGTAATCCTCTATATTTTACTCCTCACATTCTGAAAAGGGGTCCATAGGCTACATTGGACTTACAAAAAAGTTCACGATACAAAAAAGGTTAAAAACCTTTGTAAGAAGTTGTTGCAAGAAAATTACTTCCTTTCCTCCCTACCTTAGTTTTTAACTTCTCAGGTAGGACAGGTCTCTTTCCTGGGGCAGCTAGGGGGCATAGTGGAGAGAGTACGGGGCCTGGAGTTAAGAAGACCTGAGTTCAAATGTGACCTCAGACACTTACTAGTTGTGTGACCTTGGACAAGTCACTTCACTTCTGTTTGTCTCAGTTTCCTCATCTCTAGAATGGGGATAATAACAGTACCTTCCCTCCCAGAGTTGTTCTGAGGATCAAATGAGATAATATTAATAGAGTGCTTAGCACAGTGCCTGGCACATAGTGTTATACAAATGGTAATTATCACTACTACTACTACTACTACTATTACTACTACTACTACTACTACTACTACTACTACTTCTCTGAAACTCATATTGGCTCTGGCTCCTTGCATTAGCTTCTTCTGATTCCAAGTACAATAGCTCTCTCATTTGTTTCATACATTATTCTTTCACTACTACTTTTACAGAATTACTCACTAAATCTTTACAAGTTGATTGGTGTGAGGAAACTGAACCCACAGTGAGACAAATTAGCTTGCCTAAAGCCACAGCAGCCAGTTAGTGGCAGAGCTGGACTTAATCCCAGGTCTTCCTAGAGTGTTACTCTTTAGAGCTTGCTAAGGCAACATGCTTTCCGTTTGAATCGCTTCTTTTCCTCATCCTGATTCTTCTTTCCCTCTTCCAGAGGGTTTTTATTGTTTCATTTGCTACTCTCCCTCCCTCCCTTCCTCCTGATAAGCAGGAAATTTTGAAAACTCAACTGAACGAGGAAAAGTTTCTGGAAATTTTCTTCTGTTAGAAGTGAAGGGGAGCTTAAGGGAGTTTTTGATCGCCATTTTGGTTAGTTTCTCGAACCAACCTGGTTAGATTATAGGGTCCTTTGTCTCTGTAATACTTCCTCTATTCACCCAAAACTTGCGATCATGCTTATAATAAGGTTCAGTCCCCGGAGAGCGGCTGCTACTCTCAGGTTTTAGAGTTAACCCTGTGAACTACTGCTGCAATTTACAAGACCCCACCCGTTGTGTTTCCTGTTAATAATTAATCAGTAGAGTCAATTAGTTATTAGCAAAGGTATTTATTTGAACAATATAGCAAGAACAGTAGTTGCAAAACATTCCCTCATGAACTCAGAGCATACTTTTCCATGAACAGATCATGTTGGTGGGAAGAGTGGACTCAAACTGATAGTGTGATGGTAGTAAGGCACACATGTAGGATATATGTGTGGCAAGAGCTACTCACATCATCAGGAATTACAGGGCCTACAAGTCCTTTTTCTCTTTGTAGTGTCCTCACGCTGGGTTCCCAGTTTTTAGAACATGTTGTTTAAAACAAACTACTTTGACTAGCAAGTACAGAAAAGAAATTATAAGAATGGGACAGATAGCACAGTAAAAATTGTTTTTGGCTTTTCATTCAATTGCTCATTTAAGTAAAATTAACTGTTTATTTCCATTTTGATTTCTTGTTAGCAACAACAACAAAAACGTCTTGAAACAATAACATAATACCAGGAGACAGAGTTATCAGAAAATAACTAAACTTCTTGGATTATAGGACATACCTGAAAGAGATATTGAAACCGACTGCTCCCTCTTTGATACCACACTTCTCTGAATTTTCATTGCCATATAAAATTAAATTACCAAATTAAAAATGAATGTATCTCCTCTTTAAACATATCTACATTCACAATGCTTTAACCATTTTAATTCAATGTTAGTGTGGTTTAAGGAATTCCCCATTCATGAGTCAAGTAGCAATTTAAGCAATACAAGTCCATACAAGAGTAGCTGATAGTCCTTAGGCTTATAGTGCAAATGAAACAGCTATCAGAACTGCAGTAACTGTATGATATTTCTGAAATACATAATAGACGAAATATAGCACATGCAAAAAGCTCTAGTACACAGATGGTTATAGGACTAGAACATTGGCCAGATTTAACTGGTGGTCCAGAAGCAAAGTTCAGATGGATTCTTCCAAAGTGTTTTTGTTATCTATCTATCTATCTATCTATCTATCTATCTATCTATCTATCTATCTATCTATCTATCATCATCTCTCCATTCATGAAATAATAAAAAAGAATCACAAACATTTCATTGTACCAGGAATAACAGAAAAAGAGTATTGTATATGACACTGTGGAACAATGTTATATACATCTTGATTTTTAAAAGTTTACGTTAAGCTTAACATGTAACTTCCAACACTACTTTACTTTTCTGTACCCCTTTCTGAACCTCTCTTACTTTTCTCTTTTCTAAAAATGATTGGTTGATTCTCTTTTCTTCCTTTTTTTTTGGTATCACTAATAGTGAATGCATCCCATAAATCTTCCATCCCCCCAAGCTCCTAAAAGCCCTCCCATGTAACAAGTATGGTTAGGCAAAACAAATCTACACATTGGCCATGTCTGAGAATACATTTCTCATTTTACACATCTAGTCCATATGATTAGTCACTGACCTTAAGATTTTCTCAGTTTATTTAAGTAATGCCATGACCATTGTACAAACTGTTCTCCTAGTTCTGCTCACTTCATTCTTTTATTTTTTTAAAATAGTTTATTTTTAAAAATTAGTCAAAATCTACCTTCACACTTTCACCCCCTCCTCAATTGAGAACACAAGAAAAATAAAACCCATTACAAACATGTAGAGTCAATCAAAATAAATTTCCGCATTGATCACATCAAAAAAAAATTGGCTCATTCTGTATTCTGAATCCTTCACCTCTCTATCATGAGATAAGTAGCATGTTTCTTCATTAATTCTCTGGAATCCTGATTGGTCATTACACTGATAAGAAATCAGCACAAGAGTGTTCCATCACATTTATATAATATAGTTTGTTCAGCCATTCCCCAATTTGTGGGTACCCTCTCAGATTGCCATTCTTTGCAACCTCAAAAAGAACTATAAATATTTTCGTGTATCCTTAGAGTTTGTTTTGCTTAGGACTAACCCTTTCCTTAATTGACCCTCTCTCCAATTACCCCTCCTCAGTCTTCTCCTTCCTCTCCTATTTCCCTGTTGAGTGAAATCTATTTCTGTACCTGTGTATATGTATTCCTTCTGATAAGAGTGAAGTTCAAGTGTCAGCTACTCCTTCTCACCCCCTCTCACCCGGATTATGAGATAATTTCTGCTAACCTTCCTCCCCTCCCCCCAACTTTCCTCTTCTCCTCTGTTTTCATTCTTTACTTAATATTCTCAAGACATAATAGAACCACTCACAGGCCTTATACTCTCACTACGGACCCTGATAATGTTAGGATCCTGAAGGAATACGTGTATCATCTCCCCATATTTGAACAAAGCAATTTATTCTTGTGTAGTCCTTTATCACTGTTCATTCATGTTTATCTTTTTATGTTTCTCTTCATCCCTGCATTTCAACTTCAAAGTTTCTATGAAGCTCTGGTATTTTTTTTTATCAGGAGTGCTTAGAAGTCCTCCATTTCGTTAAAGATCCTTTTTTCCCCTTGTAGCATTATGCAGTTTTGCTAGGTTAGTTATTCTTGGCTATAAGCCTGTATCCTTGGCTTTTTCAAAAGCTGTATTCCAGATTCCCCTCTCTTTTATAGTGGTTGCTACTAAATCATGTGTGATCCTGACTGTGGTTCCTCAGCAGTTGAAATCTTTCTTTCTGAATGCTTGTAGTATTTTTTCTTTGACCTGGAAACTCTGAATTTTGCATCTGACATTCCTGAGAGTTTTCATTTGGAGGGCTCTTTCGAGATAGATTCTATTTCTACTTTCTCCTCTGTTTTTAAGAAGTCTGGGCAGTTTTCTTTTGGTGCTTTCTTAAAATATGATATCTACACTTTTTTTGGTCATAGTATTCTGATTGTCCAATGATTCTTAAATATTTTCTCCTTTAACTTGTTTTCCAGGTCAGTTGTATTTGCTATGAGATTCCCTACCTTTTCTTTTATTTTTCAGACTTTTCACTTTGTTTTAATATTTTTGTGGTCTTGTGTAGTTACTAGCTTCTATTTGGTCCATTTGAATTTTCAGATTATTATTATTATTTTTTTGCTTGAGCAACTCTTATGCCAAGCTGTAAATTTACTTTCCAATTCTTTCCTCTGATCAAAAGTAGAGTGCTGCTGGACTTAGCCCTTATCAGCCAGCTGGAAAGTTGTGTTGGTTCAGAGTGACAGAATTGGAGGTTCCCCTTTGGCCTGAGATTTCTGCCCCAGTTATACCTCTGCAAGCTGGGCTAGATGCTGGGAATGAGATCTTGTTCTGTGCCTGAGATTTAAGCCACACTTCTGCTATTGTTGGCTTTTGCATTCCCCATCATCGCAGTGCCCCACATGGATTTGGAGGAGCCTCAGTATGCTTCGGGACTTCCACTTCCCCTGGTGAACAGTGTTTCCCTGGGCCCTGTAGTGTTCTATGAACAGCATGCTCCTGGCCTGACCCCGTCTCCAGTGTCCACAGACATTGTCCTCTGTCTTCTGGTGGTGATCTGGGCTGGAAAAAATGATTGTGGCTTTTTCTGGATTTCTCCATCACAATTTGGTCTGATACATTTTCTAGATATGTTTAGAGTTTTGTGGAAGTGAGGTCCCTACCACTCTGTCATTTTGGCTCCCCTCTCCAAAGCTCAATCACTACATACCAAATTGCACCTCAAGCTTTGTACTTCTCTTTGACAATTTCACTAAGACACACACAAATATGATTTAAATCTCTGTATTATGTGTTGTAGTCAAAAGTATATCCTATGACAAATTTGTTTAGAATTTTGAATCCAATCAATTTGGATCTGTGTCATGCACTGAATTATCCTTTTTATAGTGAGCTGGCTACTTTAATCTTCTTTAGCTTATACTGCTTGACCAGAGAAAGTAAAGTATTATTTTACTAGTGTCAATTATATCTTCAAAAATCAGGATTTTTTTCTAGTCAAAGTTGAAAGATCATCTCCAGAATTACTTTTATATACCCAGCTGACAGTATTTTTATGGTAGATCTTCAATCTGATGAAACTATAGTCATTGGAATTAAATCATTACTATTCTTGCTCAGTACTTTGATACGATTGAGGAAATCAGCAAAGAAGTACATAGTGCCTCCCTTGAAGACTTAGAAGATAATGATATGATGGCCTCCCTTCTCCTACATCATATTTGGACCAGTCTTTCTGTACTGCCCATGATTATCCTATGAGGAAGGAATACCTTTTCCAAATCTTTATCATAATGCTTAGGTAAAGTCCAAGTCATAACAGTCCATCATTCTCAATCACAGTGCTTGGGCTAAGGGTTGCCATGACAGTGCAGGAAGTTTGATGGTCAAGGAGGAGGTAGGGAGAGAAGCAAAGGAAGAGAAAGAGAGAGGAGAAGAGGAGGAGATGTCACGCAATGCATTAGGGATCAACAGAGTGAGCTAGACTGATCATGGAAGCCCCAAATTCTAGCCAAAATGGCACCATAAGACTCTGGTGATGTGATTTCACAAAACCAGACATAATTTCCCCCCCAAAGTTCTCATAGATTAAGTGCTTCTCTTGGTGCTTAGCTTTCTTAAGCCCAAAGACAATAAAGAGAAGAAAAGGAAGAAAGAAAATCAAGCTTCCTCTGTCTGAGGAAAAGTTTGGTCTCTAAAGAGCTACCAGAACATGTGGGACTCTCCTCACAGGGATTAAGAACTTCCATCCTTCCAATAAGAAACCAAACCACTATGTCTTGGCACTTGTATACAATACAGCCCTGCTGGCACTAGGTGGTTCCCAGGGCATTTGTCCTCTCACTTTCCCCACTATGTAGTCTCTCTGTTCAGGCGTCATTTAGGAACTGAGTGCTATAATAAATTCATCCTCTCCCTCTCCTACTATGGGACCCCTGTACTCTGAACTCACAAGCACAGGTAGGTTTAATCCAGGAGGAAGGAGAAAACATTTACTTGGATCCTTGAAACACAGAGGACACACAAAATTTCTTCAGGGATAGGGAATTCAACTAGAAGTCCAAACTGACCTCTCATTAGGACAAGCAGGCTACCTTAAAAAGGAAAACATGGAAAAGTCCCAAAGACTTGCCCCCCCCAAGGGATTAAGCACTTGAGGTTGATTATTCAGAGTTTCTAGGGCTTCAGATAAACATTATCCTGTGGGCCTGAAGTCCATAAGGACCTCAGAAAAGCTATCTGGGGTAATATCAGTGTAAGGCAAGCAGTCTAGGTCTACTTAAAAATTAAAAAAAAAAAAAGAAGAAATAAAATGAACGTGTGTGAGCTCCCATAGTGTGCTGCTCTAGGTATCAGTATTCTAGGGAGGAACTGCTCTTATTCATTTTCATACTTGTAATGGGCCTAGTAATACAACAGATAGTAATACACAAACATTTGAATAAACGGAAGTTATCTCAAAGAAATTATAGTCTAAAACAAAGCAGACAAAAACATGCTAATTTTTTTTTCAATGAATCCTGTTAGGGCATCTAAGAATCAGAATTCCAGGTGGAGAATCTCTCTAGGGGATCCCTGCAAATGAATAGGGGATACAAAACATTCCAGATAAATCCCGATAGGATAACATCACCCTAGGGTTCTTCCTCTAACCTTCACTCTACTTTGAGGTTCTTTA